CTCTGGAACTTCACTAGCGTTTTACTGGATTTTCAGTGACAGTGTCAGATGGGTGCAGTCTGTGTGCTTCTGCTGATGTAAATTGTTTTACTCGTTGACATTTGGCATAAAATAATGCACCAGCAAGCTCAGACACTGTAAAACTTGGCATGTCTGCAACATGGATAGCTCAGAAAGGTCTGACATGGCCGATCCACAGGCACTGATGGACAAGCCCGGAATTACTTTTCGAATGTTCTACAGACCAACAAGGCAAACACAATTTATAGTTTTTTGAAATAGGGTAGCTGGAGGAGAAGGAAGCTTGGCCTACCAAAGACACACAGATAATCAGCTACACAAGGAAGCAGGATCCAACTTTTTTGCCTACTCTTGGGTATTAGATCATGCTAACATTCCTTCAATAAATGTTGTATGCACATGATAACCAAAAAGGACAACGGCAGTCAATGGTGTCTATTCCTAGCTTTAAGGCTGGACCACTATCCTGGCCAAGACAATTAACCAAGGGTAGACTAGTCCACCCAGCTGTAAAATGAGACTATAATATTGACCTCGATTTGTGCTCTAAGGGGAGCAGACAAATACTCCCTAGAGATAAGTATCACTGGGAGAGCATTCTTGCCTTGACACACCATTAAAAGTAAGAGATAAGCTTTGTATTTCACTTGGGAAAAAGTGAAGAAGGGAGAAAGAAACTTCGTTTACCTTTGGATGGCCCTTCTCAAGTCACAGTATCCTACGCAATCCCAGCAAACATGCTCTGCTGCTCTGGGACATGATCTCACACTGCAGAGTGCTCCCAAGCTCAGCCAGCCTGACATAAGCAATGGGAAAAAAACCAGAGCAGAAACAGAGCAGAGAGAGAGGGAGTGCCACGCATCCGCTCGCTCTTCATGCTCCAAAAACACATTGTCTGACCTCCGACAAAATACAGACTATGATCTCTGAGAAACTCTAAAAATCTTATTGCCCAGCAGAGACACTTTTTTGCAGCAACAGGCAGATGTGCTCTCTGATGACACAGACAAGCTCTTAGCCTTCGGGCAGTCAGGTGTATTGTTACTGAGTAAATCAGCTTGTTCTCACCTCAGGGTCTAATTCGTTTGCACAAATGGCACTCTGTTTTTGCAAAACACTTCCTCAGGTGGCCTATTTGACACCAAACAGCAGATGGTTTACTGTCCATGCAGCAAATACGGTCATTTTGGGGTTCCAAGTGGGTCATGGCTTCGTCATACAGCAAGCAGCTGCATTCATTGTGGAAATGTTTCAAATGTTTTGCTTAGGATACCTGGGTGCTTTCTCTCTAGTTCTGCCTCCTCTCCTTCTTCTGCTTCAGTGCCTTTACCTGGAGGTAAGTATCAGAACCAGATATAACCAGCCCACAAACTTCCCAGAGTTTCAATCTATTGGTATCCCAAATCATTCACATGCTGGAGGCCAAAACAGAAAGCTCCTCTCTCTGCCAAGCTCTAGAGAGCCGACTACATCCACCCTATTCCTGCAGGACTCTACAGTTTACCCCCTCAGTTCTTTAGTTGCCAAGGTGTTTAGCATGGATAAGGCACATACCTTGCATGAGTTTAAACTGGCTCTGTTCATTGGGGAGCCTTGCATACCTAAGTGCAAGTGTGTATGTTTTCAAACCTTGCACAGTTTGCTGCAGGGTATGTTCAGAAGCTCGGCTAAATTTTTTGAAGCCCTTTATGGCAGAGGACACCCTCCATTAGGCATGTTTTCAGAACTTGAATTCTATGCTTGCCTTCATGTTGAAGCAAAGTACAGTAAAGACCTTCCAGACCCCACAGTGTTATGATTTTCATAGCACTTTGAATCGCAGTGTGACACACAGAAAGCTCACAGACAACAGGACGCCAACCAAGATGGACAGTAGGTTGTCAGGTCTCTAGTTGCCCTGAACAACTGCAGTTCCTTCCACTGAATCAATGTGGCTCACAGATCTTCCCAAGATCAGGTTGTACCAAGTCTGCAGGTCTAACAGCCCCCTCCTTGCTAAATTTCAGATTGGTGTTCAATACAGATAGATTTATCCAGCAGCCTAGAAACTGAAGCAGAAGCAAATGCAGAAGAGGTCAGCGTTATTGTCCTTGTTTGTGACCGAGATTTTTTTCAGTAGAAAACAAACTGGGATTGCAGTGCATACAACAAGTACATTCCAGAGAAAGAGCATAAATGCACAAAAGAGCAATGCAGTGTTTGCAGTTGATTTAGCACAGCTCAGGAAAGAATAAAAAACCTGGGCTGCACAGTTTTGCCAAGTCACATTAGGTCAGTCAGTACCCTCATCTATCATGAGCCCGGCATCTCACACGCAGCCTCAACCATCTCTCCTCTTAAGCTGGGAAAGAGTAAACTATCTCCTGCACAAAGCACTGTGAGCAATATTTATCCCACTGGCTATGCTAAATAACGCGCGCAGAGGTCAATACAGTAAGACATATTCAAGTATGTCTTGGGACAAATGAAAGGTAGGGTTGGATGTTCATTTCTGGTATACTGGACAGTATTAATTTTATTTCCAGGTTTCATAAACTTTTCAATTGTTTAAACTGATAGTCCTCAGGTGCTGGGTTTGTTTTTTTTTTTCCCCCCCTAATGTCAGGTTTTGCTCCATTTTAATATATCCTTTTAAATTTCCTTTACAGATAAGTATTGGTCAGAAAAAAATGGCAAAAATTTCCCTTACACCAGCTGTTACAGGATCTAGTGCGGATTTTAAAACAGAATAGAGTTGCAGCCTGCATTCCAAAAAAACTCCAGTGAACCATGTGAAGAGCATTGTTTGGGAGCAATTGGAGAGATAACTGCACTCCTGATTTAACTCATTCATTATCCTTAGTGTACAAAACAAGCAGCTGCAGTAACATCATACTGAGAGTACTGAAAAGAACACAACACAAAATAGAAAGCTTAATCTACATTTCTGATACAAGCTGTTTAGTAGCTTCAGCTGTGCAACTGTGGGAACTAGTGGTACAACTTTACGGAATCTGGCCCCATGAAAACTCATTTTTTTGCACAGTGTGCAAACATGAAATGCAAAATAAATCATCTTGCACTAGGTAGGGAATTTGATTAAGATTAGTGAGCCCAAAACCAGAGCTACCAACGGGCTCCGAGCTGTGCAGCCATGCCTCTTCCTATTCCTGTTTTATTCAACTTCACTTAATTCCTCTTGGTTCTTCACACATGTACATCAGTTCCCACTGATGCTACAGTTCTGCTCACAGATTGTTCTTTTTGAAAGGATTTTGGGGGAGGATTAGACAAACAGAAAGACAATCTTTTTTACTTTGTAAAATAGTTGAGCTCCTGCCAGACTGAGACCTCAAAGAAGTCGGTCCAGTACAAGCTACAATAACGTACAGAAAGATGGTTCAGCAACCAAGAAAAAATGAAAACAAGTGATCAGTGGAGGTAGCTACTCAGACCAGCCACATGGAAAATATTATGGCAGAACAGGCAGCTTAAGAGTGTCAACTTTATATTTTTCTCCTTATTTGAAGTTTCCCTTTACCTAAAGTAACTTACCAAGACTGAAATTATAGAGGCTGCCTTCTGTCCAGTATATTTTTCTGTGCCCTGGCCTGAAAATTCAGAGCCTTAAAAGCAGACAGTTCAATCTACTATTATTGTCAAGAGGCCTTCTCACTCCTGACTCGCCAAGCTCTGGCCACAAAGCCATCAGCCACAGCTCCAATGGTGGTGAATGCAGCTACAAGAAGCCTTTAGGGCTGCTGAAATCAGCCGGCAGGCTTGGTGCAGGCAGCGCAGGTCCACATGAGACTGGGCTGACTTGCAGCATCAGAAATGCACGGACCGAAGACGGTGCAGTCTGAGAACAATCAGGAAGTATCTCAATAAAAAAACCAAAAAAAAACCCAGGCTACCCAGCATGGAGCAGAGGAGAAAGCACCATAATCCTCACACGTGCAGAAGAGGATAGGAAGAAGAGAGAGAGGGCTAACTTTTGTAGGGGTTTTGAGAATTAATTTTAAGAATTAATTATTCATATGTTACCATGATTTCATACCATCTTTAGAAGCTGGGGCTCAGCACAGTAAAGCCCAAGGTGGGAAGAAAAAACCACATTATTTACAAAGCTGCAGAGATGTTCTCCTGTCCCTGCTCACCTGTCCAACAAGCACCTTGCTTTGTTTTGGGAACATGGCCTCCCAACACCTCTCTACAGTATGAAACTTCCCAACCACACGCTGCTTTTGGGAAGGGCCAGGATAGAGCCATTGGCCTGATGTCCAGAAGAGAGTTGATCAGAAAGCAGAACTTGCCATTTAGGTGAGATTTCTGAAATAAATATAAAACTGGATGTATATTTCAAACTGGGAAAACCTGACGAGTCCAGAGAGGCCTGGGTCTCCCTGCAGGATGCAACTGCAAGGCAGCCAGCTATCCGTCTGCCTTTGAGCTGAGGAGCAGGAGCTGCCCAACCTGTCAAGGAACTCAACTTGTGGCCAGGGCTCCAAGGGCTCCTCAGCTCTCCGCTGCCACCAGCCTGTCAGGCAGACTGCCAAGGAGCTGGGCAGGAAGGAAACCAGGGAGGTTTCCAACAGAAAAAACATCCCGCTGGAAAATTTCTGACCTACTCTAATAATGGGCCTGCTTTCAGAGTCAGTTGTGATGCTGGCAGAAGGTAGGGAGACCCACTGCACTTTCTGTTTAGTTATTGGCTTCCTATATAAATTTTTTTCTATACCAGACACGCAGCATCAACTGAAGTGATCCTTAAGAAGGATGTTCATAAATCCCTTCAAACCTCTCCACAGCAAACGACATTGCTTTTCCCGAGAATGATGACAATCGTTAATTGGCGCTATTCAGAAGGTAACATTTTCTTTGGTAAGGTCTTTACTGCTTTAGGCAACCACATGTACTTTTGGCAGCATCTCTAGACAAGCCTTGTTGGCAGCATACAGTATATGCCTTGCTCGGAAAGATTGCATGAAAAAACAGCTCACTTTCCAGTTCCAATTCCAAGGCTTCATAAACTTGGCAAGGCTGACAACGTAATCTGGCTTGACTGCAGGAATAACTGATGCCTGATAGGTAGCATCCCGCGAAGCGGCCTGAGCTGCCCATGCACACGCAGTTACGCTACAAAAGGAGAACATTCTTAGCCTAACTCCCTGACTACTAACAGTTGACCGACCTACATACCGTTCATTGTTCAGGGTCATTCTTGGAGGGTCGAGGTTGGGGTTCTCCATGGACTCCATTTGAGGACAGCGTAGGAAGTAGTAAAGGGTGTGGAGAGCATCAGGGGACCAGGAGATGGGTTGCTGCTGCCGGGTTTGCCGAATGGGGCTCATTCCTGGGCGGATGGTGTTCAAGCACTGCATGTGGTGCATTGCTCGTGATACCAGATCACCTGCACGACGAGAAAGAAGGCAAAAGCATCTCTTTACTATTCACCCACAGTCCTCTTAAGTACACTTTCTGAACTAAATAAAATCTCTTGTAGCTAAGAGAAATGTCTTTTGTGTGCACATACTCTTGTTCCTCCACAAAGCTGTCCTCAAACTGCCACTTTGCAGGTTCTTATATGGGAAATTTAACTTTCTTTCAAATGACAAGTTTTAGTTAGAAAATATAGAATAGAACTGCTCTCAGTCACCATACATTCAGAATAACAGCTTTACAGTGATTTTTCTATCCCGTTTTAATGCTGGTTTTCTCCTCTTTCCAACCATGTATACCAGTTTCTTGCCTGCCTACAAAAACTACCGATATCTTTGTAAAACATCCGCTGCTCAACCTGGGAGCACAGCTTTCACAAGGCAAAGCCACGACCACCAGTACAAATGTTTTACTCTCATCGCCAGCATCACCATTTTACATTAAAAGATTGTTCCCATTTCTTTCAACGGGTTACGACGTTCTACCCAGGCACTTGTGACAAATTAATGATGTTACGTTCAATACAGAAATCCCTTCTTTTAGGGGTCTGCTTGTCTCATTCTTGCTCTAGCTGCAGGTTTCTCCAGAGTAACAAGTCCTGACTGTCTTATTAAAAAGCCAATCTTTATCATGCTGACTATCACAATCTGTGCCAGAAATTTGCCCCCGAGCCTTGTAAGCAGTTCAATCCAGGAGCTTTCTGGGCTGCTGCGTCCTCCCAGTCTTTGAACTCAAGCCAACCTGCCTCTATGTCCGAGTACTGGTGGACTTGGGGGAGGCCTGGAAGAAAGCAACCTGTATGTATTACACAGTTTCTACTCGGAAAAGATTTTAAGACCAGATTTTGAAAAAGTTCACAGAGCAATGACCCCAAGACAGCAGCTATGCAGTCACATAAAGCTGGTCTTTGTGTAATAAGCTTGCTTTGGGCACACCCTGTTTACTCTCCTTTTATTGTGGTGCATTACAAACTCTCAAGAGTTTGCAATAAAGGCTTCAGACACTACATCTTTAGTAGTGTGACTACCATACCAGTGAGCTGAATGATTACTATAGATTACTATACATAGCTAGGATCTATTTTTTCCTTGGGAGAATCCTCTGTTGCTTTATGTTTTACAGTCCCCTAAAACTCTCACAGGAAATGTTACTCTATTGTGTCCTACAGTTACAATACTGGGAAAGGATGGAACTGAAATAGTCGCCCCATCGCAAAGCTGGTTCCTGAGAAAGCGCCCTGAACTTAGCCGCACCACATATAAATTAGTAACGCCTCCCTCTGAAATTCTTAGGAAGTTATTATTTATTCATTTATATCTAACAGCAATACGCTGAATTTGCCAAACAACCTCCAGCTGAACCCATGAGGTTCTAGCGTTAAACAGGGCAGGGAGAAACCCCCGCCAAGCTACTGTATGTCTAAACATGACAACGTTATCCGTGGTTCAGATCAATGGAGTATTAAAAATCTCAGTTTGCAACGTAAAGCTGTGCCACTCATTTGCAGCACAGTACATTCAGTTTAAGGACCCACTTCAGAGCGGAAAAACCTTCTAACATCTCTGCCTTTCCACTTCAGTAGCTCCGGACTCGCCAGCATCTAAACGTTTTACGAGAGTATTATGAATCCTCTAGAGTTGGTACTAACACAGAAGTCTGTGCAGTTGTAGCAGAAGTGCATCTGGAATTCAAATTTTCAGCTCAGAATAACGTTCCTTCTCCTTTGCACACTCACTCTCTTTACTTTTCTGGCAATGTACAGCAAAAGTTTAAAAAAAAAAAAAAAAACGTAGGCAACTGTATCAGGAGATCTATTCAGTAGATGTAATGACCAAGTTGGCCAAAGCAGGGATGGGGGAAGAGAGAGAGGAAGCTGTATTCAATCTTAGGCCTATGCTACAAATGTTCTCTTGTGTTCCAGGATAAATAGAGGTGTGTTAAAGGAATTTGAAAACCTCAAATTAAGGCAGGTTGCAAAATAAATGGTGAAACCCACAAACTCCTTGCTGGCCCTGACATTCATTAGCATTCAGATGGCGGAAACTAAGAAAGTGATGCCAGCAGAAATGTTGCAAGGGAAAAGTAGACCAGGAAAACACAAATCATTTTTGTTTACTTTAAAGGGGCTTTGTGAGTAGTCTAGGAATGGAACATTTCATTTGGTTAGCAGTAAAAAAGAAGGTTTTGAACAAGTTTTTGTTACCAAAGTGCTCTCAGATTTTTTTTTCTCCGCTTTTTGTTTTTTAAGTAACCAAAAAGCTTTTCCTTGAATATCCTGCACCCTTGAGATTTCCACTGCACAAACACTAACAAAGAGAACCCTCTTCGCCATCTGAGGGAGGTGCCACTCCTGTGTTCCACAAATGTACAAGAAAGCCTCCAGAGGCAATAGGCAAAAGCATCCATCTTCTCTTGGCACTAACACCACTAACTACCAGAAGGCTAGAAAAGCCACATCTTATACATCTCCAAGGTGAATTAAATATAAAGTAGTCTAATGAAACAACCCAATTCTCATAAACAGCACCACGAGACAATTAAATCTTACACAACGTTAGCCAAATACTGCTCACACTGTCAACAACGGCAACACTCCCACTGACCTCAACAGCGGAGGGACTGGCTCTCCTGCTTCACTGAAAGAAACCCATGTTCGATTACGTCCAAAACTTACTCAGTTCAGAGATGCTTCCAACGCAAGTTGCCAACAGAGACTGCTCTAAAGTTCGGAGTTCCAGCTGGGCATAAGCATCAGCCCGTCCATCGCTGCACACAGAGCCATCGTTGTATGGGCTAAAGTAGGCAGGCAGGGACAGCACACCTGGGGATGAGAGCAAAGAACAGTCCTGTTACAAGTGAAGTTACCAGAGCAGAAGAGCAAGTCTCTCTACTGATAGTGATAGGGAACTTGAACACGTCTGCACCTTTTCTTGGGGGACTTGAGGTCTTTTGAACAGTTCAAACAAAACCAAACAGTGCTGTAAATACCATTGGAATAGCTGAAACGGTGAAACTAGGCTCTAGGGAGTAAGGCTGGATGTTTCTACAGCCTTTAAAAACTAGAAACAAATTGCAGTTGAGATAAAACTACATGAAAAGCTTTAGCGAAGTCTCTAATATTGTTTATACAACAGTTCAGCTGTGTACACACACCTTGCTGTTGAACAGCTGTATGCAGATTGCTAGATATAAGGGCCTGATTTTGAGAGGTGTGGAAGATAATCTCAAGTCCATCTAAGGTAAATGGTAGCTGCAGTCTTTGCAACTCTGAAAACAAAACCATGGGCTATGCCAGTTCTTTGAACCTGCATGCAGTTTCAAATGCGCAGACAGTGGTTTCTACATGTGTGAACCTTTGGCTGTGCCAAAGTACGCCCACGAGTTTTGAGGTTGACTATATTTTCATCTCTATAAATGACCCCTCTATAAGAGAGAGAGATTAGAAAGATAATTATATTGCACACACGCGTTTACCGCACGCGCTCTTTCCATTTTATCTTCTTGCACACATGAGCATTAATGCACAGTAACTGAACAGAACGACGGATTTGCAAGCAGTTTTGTGTAGTTGTTACTGGGACCCCATCCTACTTTGCGCACATCCCTACAACTCATTTGCATTGTTGGCAAATTAGAGACCATTTGGGTGAATTGGCTGGGAATGGCAGCGAAGACTGGGGATGCTACAAAAAACTTGACATACGGTTTCACATTCAGATGCAGACAGTCTTTAAAAGCAGCAGTCATTCACCTCCCCCCAATCACCTTTTTCACCCCTTATCTTTGGTCGAGCCACAGCAGATCTGCAGCCACGATGCAACACAGATCCAAAAAAAAAAATATTACCTCCCCTGCCTTCATCCCAGAAATCCATTAGTTGAATAGTTCCTCTTCGAATTAGCAAGCTGAATTCTGTTGCCCTTTGGCCATGTGATTGCTCTGTGTGGCACAGAGGGAAGGGTGGGAATGTGACCTCTGGAGCTGATAATGGTTGGACTGGATGATCTTAAAGGTCTTTTCCAACCTAAACGATTCTAGGATTCTATGTACGTGGCTGAGGCTGGGGTGGGAGAGCGGACCTGCCTCCTCCGGTGGCACCCTGGGGTGGATCTGATGAAACACGGCGTGACTCTGCATCCACAGTGCGGGTGGCCTCTGAAAAGCCTTCTGCAGCCCACTCAGCTGGCGCTCCTGTGCCCTTGTCGCTACCATATTTTCAGTTGTGTTCAGCTGCTACCATATTTTTAATTACGGATCTATCCCACAATTCCAGTAGCACACCCTGGCCCAAATTTTCCGTGATTTCAGATGAGGACACTTATAGCCACGACTGCCTGTGCTCTTACCCTGCTGCATCCTGTATTTTTGATTTTTCAACTTTGATCCATGCACAGCCATACCAGTGTAGCTCAGCCCCACACTTCCTCCCCACCCTCACCTTCTGACCCCGGTTTAGGCTTAGATGTGGAGATACTTCACTCCTGTCACATAGGTGCTGTGTATTCTTGTCAAACAAAACCCTGCCAGCTGAACGGCAGTGCATTGTGCAAGGGCTTTGTTTCTTTGTCATGATGTTTTCTTTTGAAATTTTATGCTGAATTGATCTCTCCTACCCTTTTCACATCCTCTTTGCATCCTGTCTGGTGGTAAAGCCAAGGGCCGCATCAAAAACTTCCCAGATATTTTGAGGATAAGGGAATGATTTATCCTGTTGTGCTTCTTCACTGTACATCACTGTTAGTTAATGGAGAAAACTCTGCCAATGCCCTCTGTAACCTGAATAATTAGCTCTTAAAGCCTCGACTTCCTAACAGAAGCGATGCATGCAAAGTAGAAGAGCTTGCTTTAAATACACTGCAGCCTCCTATACAGAGCCTAAGCCACTTCCTTTTCCATGTTAAAGCTATGAAAGGATGTTTTAAAGACATATGGATTGAATTTATGGCAGAGGGAGAATGAAAATAGACTGATTTGTCAAAAGTTTCAAATAGAGGCGTATAATTCTACAGAGGCGAAAACAGAAACTGGCAGTTACATTACTAAGCCAGGCAGCGGTGGGGGGGGGAAAAAGGGGCACATTTTCTCTGCCAGCCAGTTTCAGTTGGTTCTGTTTTCTAACAAGGAATTAAAAATAAAGATTTGTAGAATGATTTAAGTTGGCTCACAAGTGAAACAAGATTTTCTCAGTTTTTCAGTTAACAGTTTGCCAGGTGCTGTGGGTAAGAGGAAACGGGGGATGATTTATTTACTTTTGGAAAAATTACTCATACAAGATAGTTGCGGAGATTTATGTTCTCATCTGCCTTGGTACAGCTGAGGAATAACCTCTACGTTCGAGAGAGAAATAAGGAAGTTACCGAGACTCTGGCCACGTGCCAAAGCCCGATGATGCTACCGGGGATTTTCCCTGGGATCGCAGAGGGGTATGAATCAGGCCCTCGTTACATAAGATTTCGCAGGTCTCGATAGGTATGAGCAGGCCCAGGAATGAGAAAACACACCTCTGGACACTGCTTTTGAGGCAGATGGAGAGCAGTGACCGAATGGGCAGCAAAGTAGAAACATACCCACAATCACTACGTCTTGCAGCACGCTAATCAAGATTTCCTCTTCGACACGTTTCCAGAAACTGCACGGAGTTGGAAAAGCATCATCTTTGCTCTTCAGATCAGAAATTCAGGCATAAGGACATCTGCAGTCAAGCTTTGCCTGCTGGTATTATAATTAGGAACAGGACTTAATCTTTACTACCAATTAAAACCACGTTGTTTGTTAACAGAGACAACTGCACTGTGAAGACTGCTTGTACCCCAAATGGTGGTACCTGCTCTCTTCCCACCCAAACCAAGAAATTTGCAGTCAAAAGGTGTTATAATGGTACAAATCATAGGGGCAATTTCTATTTCTATCTGGCATTCACATTTCTGTATTTTTATATTTGTGGCAACACTGGTTTTAATCATGGCTAGCTAAGTAAGCAAAACTGTAATTGAAATAAATCAATTCATGTCAAAACACTCTCTCTGCATTTGAAATCACATTAAAACTGCCGATTTATTTCCTCGTTCAAGAGCATGTTTTCCCCACAAAACAACAACGTGAAACAGCACGTAATTACCGTGCAGGAACGAACCATTCAGGCATGCACACCACTGTTCTTACAATATTTTCTCTGATGTGGGCTACGTCGTGTTTCCTACACATCCCTGGCTGTATCCCGGCATTCTGGTCACAATTTTTTTTTTTTTAATTAACCAAGACTTTAAGTATGGGATCCAAGCCCAGGTGAAGTTAGTGAGAGCCTATTAATCTGAGCGTGGCTTAGACCAAACCTCAAGGGCAGAAGGAGCTAAGAAGTCACCTCTCTAGGATGGCGTGAGGCAACACCCTGTAGCAGCCCAATTGAAAGCATGTTTGTAGCACTATGATTAAGGCACGGCTGGCTAACAACTTGTTTCTGATATTTCCACAGCCTTTGAAATAGCAGCTGGAAATAAAAGCATATTTATTCTACCTCAGTTAATATACGAAACCTGTTCACGGGCTCTTGCTGCCAACGATCTTTAAAAGGCAGTCACGACTGGGTGAAATTCCAGTTAAGCAGTTCCTTAAACTCAAATTATTCTGCTTGCCTTAAAGATTTTGAAATTGTTGTCTGTAATGTGATGCTTTTTAATACCAACTGGAAATGTTTCCACAGTCTGAGCTCGGTCCAGAGAAAAGTCTGTTCACACTCTTGGACATCTTTCTGCTTTAAGAGGTGCAGCAGTTCTGTTGAGAGCTTTGGCTACAACGCGATTGCTCCCATGAGCAGGGCTGTGCAAAACTCTGCGCGGTCTCCCCGAGCTGGGCAATCGGTCCAGTCCTCAAGCAAGGTAACTTCTGTAAGGAACCCTGGGTCCATCTCAATGTCCCGTGATAATTCAGAGGCTGGCATCAAGTTCTGCTCTTTTGATATCAAGATACAAGCAAATGCAGACTTCTACCTGAATTTTATTTTAAGATTTGAACGTTTAAAAACCTTATTTCAAATAAGTTTTAAAGTACCCATGTTATCTTCACACTTCATGCTGTTTGCATGTTACATTCATCAAGAAGGACTAGCCATCATTTTTACCTGGCCGTAAAGGTTCTCTCTGTGCTTTCTCTGCTTTAATCTAAACCCTTCACGTTGGGAGACAACTTCCTAGTGATTAACTCATCCGTCATTCGATGACTTTCAAACACTTACATGATGTCTGGAGGTTAAGATGGGGCCACTCACAAGTGGCAAAGGGCCAAGGAGACTTGTCTGGAAAGCACTTGAATTCTGCTGTCTGGGATTCCTCATGGAAATTGCCCAGGATACTAACTCCCTTATTTCACAAATGCACTGGCTGTATTCATGACAGGTTAGGCCCAGAATCAGGAATATAAGTAGGACAGGGGCATACACCATAAACTACTGACACAGAAAAAGTGCCTTTTTTTTTTTTTTTTTTTTTTAATACAAACCTAGTAAAATCTATGAGAAAATACAATGTGTATTGATTTCTCCCTTTGGCCAGAATAAAACCAGGTTCTCTGGGCAAGGATTTTCTCTGTATGTTGTGTTTGCATTGCACCTAAAGCAGTGGCAATTATTACTGAACACTACCATAATACAAATTAGCACACAAGGAAAAAAGTATCTATTTGGCAAAACTAACCAGAAACGAGCGCCCTCAGAAAATTCAGGATCATCTTTATACGTTAGAAATTGTTTCTAAAGGCCCCCAATACCACAAAAATCCACATATGTGAAAACAGAACTGCTGTCAATATGCTACAAAGATATATTAG